ACGAACGTGAGATAAAAAATAGTCGAAGCTTTTAAGCCACATTTCAAAGAACCATGAAAAGTACTCGGGATGTGTTTTATGTCTCGGTAGTCGAGGTGGATCTCTCATGTCTTTGAATCCAATCCAGAATCCCCAGTTACACGATTTGCCTTTCCACTCAGTAGGGATAGATTTCTTGACGTCTTTATAGGTTGTCTCTGTGTCCATGGTAGCGAGTCCTACACCACCGGGAAGTCCCAAACAATATTCATTTGCATCATTCCAATTCATACCTGTGTTGGTGTCAGGATTTTTACAGTAGGCTTGGTATTCATAACACGTGCATTGGTGGGACGTTTCTAAATGAATGTAAATAAAATATATATTGACGATGTTATTGCGTATTTATAAATATTAAACAATTTCAGCGATTCTTCTTTAAAACTGCTTCAGATAGCTTTTTTTATATTATGTATTTATACAAAAATCAACAATAACATTACACCGAATAATTATCAAAGTTTCTAATCTTCTACACGTAATTACAAACACAGCAAAATAACTGACACACTTCACAAAACACATGTCACAAAACACATGTCATAAACATGTGTCCACACTTATTCAAACATGAAATGAAATGGACCTCAATATAAAATATTCAACTTACAATATTCAGCATATGACATGCCAACCAATACAAGAAGAGTCAATACAAACAACATTTCGACGTCAATATGTTTTCCAAATACCTGGTGATTGAACACACGTTTGACAAGAATTAATAGTATTGATGTCAGTTGTTGTGGTAACTATATGTATCCCGAAACTATCCATTGCTAACTAAACAGTGCTCCGTGTTCATTTACCGTATTATATCAACTATGTTGTTAAAGAAATAGAAACGTGATCATTTGTACACGACCTAACATAGAAGAGTAACAACATCCTGTATGCCCAGTACATGCACAGGTAATTAAAGAATTACGACAATAAAACATTACTTACTTCACACTTCTGATTCTCTACGGCTCAGCCAGAATAGCAGAATCAATATGATGGGTTTCGATGGTATTTTATAGTTATAGAACAAAGGGGTGTCACTCCTCACAAAAATGCATATATATCATATACACAAGTAACAGGCACCCCTGAAATAACGTCACTAATCACGTGTCGTTTCATCTACTCCGCATTTCTTTGATATCCCGAGTTAGTATTAAAGTCTAAATTGCGGTCAAACCGTATGGACGTCATATCAGAATACAAGGTTAGATTGCTGTGTACAGTACCGAATAAACTTCGTTGTCATCTCCCTTTTTGAACCACATATTTCATCAAGACAATTTGCCTAAATGTTGTTTTATTCTCAGTTCGTTTTTAGAAATTATAACCAATTGACGCGAACTGGAAATATAATTATCAGCACTTATGTAGTAGGGTTGTTTTCAAACAATATTATTCATAACAATATTATGGAATTTGGTGAAAATTTGGTTTCCATTCTCGAGATTAAGACCACATTCTTATTTGAATAGTATTTATATACTAATATTAATTAAGTATATAATTAACATATGTGATAGCATAAGATAAGAAATGATGCTGTATGTGACGGATTGAATTACTAACAGATCAATGTACGTCTTGTTACTGCGTATATAATATATATAATAAACTCTACTCAGTGAGAGTTCTCATATGTGACTGCTCTTTTTCTCTAAACTTATACCCTCACCCATTATTAGTTATTTATTTTAATAACATGTACCCATGTTATATAATATTTTACCAACCCTAAATTGCAGATCGTACATCTTGAGTTAATTGCCTCTCCCA